AGTTTCCAGCCCCAGTCTACCTTAAGTAAACCCAAGCCTCAGTTCCTCAGCTGGCTTCTCTGTAGTTCACTGGTTCTAATCCTGGTTCTGGCAACTTTCACTCCTTACATTTTAACTCTCTCTCACCTGAACCTTCCCCCAAGTATCCCAGGTACCCCAAGCACACACTGTACCATCCAAGTTAGAAACTTACCTGTGTGTGTGTGTGTGTGTGTATATGTATATATATATGTCATTGTGTGCATGATATATGAATTAGTGATCTGGGTCTAACTTTTGGGGTGTATAGTGTATGTGCTTGAATTGGTGATAGGTATGCATGTGCCTAGGCTGGTTTGGATGTATATGTGCCAGAGCTGGTAGTGTGTGTGTGTATGCACCTAATTGATTTGTGTGTTTGTATATATGCAATTGTGTCACACCCTCCTGTCTAACAGTGCAATATTGAGATCCTGAGATCCCACAGGGCTACAAGTAAACTTCTAGGCCAGTTACAGACATTATACTTCTACCAGTATAAGTGATCAAAAACCAGTTTATACCCATAACAGTCCAGAAGTTCAGCACACACAAATTCGTTTTAAAATGGTGGAACCCGGTATAAGATTTCCCACCCTACCACCAAAGAGTGAGTGTGCCTTCTGTTTAATACTGATCTAAATTACACCACTTACAGAAAACCTTATAATTTAGATCAATTCTGCCTAAGGCTTTTTTGAATGTCTGTACCTAGCCATACTGGTACAGAGAGGGTTCAGATGTTATCTGTTGACAATTCTGTGACACCTCGGGCTAAAAAAGGTTACACTGACACAGATTTATATTTGCCTATGGGACCATAAGCTCTGGATTGCAAGAGCTGCAATCTGTTGTGTCAAAAGTAATCTTATTTCTAAGCACTAAATATGGGCAATTAGTAATCTGTTCTCTCTATACAAATGTCTTCCTAATTATGGCTTTTGGGTTGCTGCTTTCTGGGAAACTTGACATAAGGATACCAAGGTCCAGTGGATCATCTCTAGCTGCAGAGCACAGCTCAAGTGTAGGAGGATGCAAAGCCACCTGTGGACTCCAGGCCTGAGCCAACTTTGCACCAGAACTGCACAGTTCAGTTTTAAATGATGTTTGTGCAGCTAATGTTATTGATATGGTGTGGATGAAATAGAGTTAGTGGGATGCAATGAAATCTTGGACACTTCCTTACATACACTTTTGCAATGGTTCTGACTCCTCTACTAAGAGTATGGAAGTGGATATCATGATATTTGTCCTGTATGTCCCACTGGGTTTTAAATCGGGGCCTGGAAAAGTCACTTACACTCAATGCACATTACTAAAGAGGCAAATCTCAAGCATTCATAGAGAATAAGTCTGTCAAAGTCAGTGTTGTTACAGGGTGTAGAATTGATGTAGCTGAGAGTATTCAGGACCCCTGTTAAAAATGCTGTATGTGCGAGTTCTTCATGTTCCTCTGTATATAAAGGAGCTTTGTAGAAACCTGAAATTTGAGCATCTGCAAATTAAGTAATTTTACCGGAAGAGTCTGGGGCCCTACACAAAACAAGAAAATGTATTGCATTTAAAAGCCTCCCTCCTAAAATTGCAGCATCCCAGCCCAGCTGGAGGGTGATGGGCAAAAACCATCTACTGCAGAGAAAAAATGATGAGTACTAGGTTATGTGACAATGTTTATATGCCCATCAGCAAGGGAAGAAAAGGATTAATAGGGTTCCTTGGAAGGGAAGGAGAGCACCTGCTATTCTCCAAAGGGACTGAGCCAGCTTTCAGTCCTGAATGGAAGGGTTGGCAGTGAAGCTTTATTAAGTAATGAGGCTTTTAAAAGTAAGCACTTGGGCTACGAGAGAAGTATTGATTCTTTGGGAAGACTATATGATGTCTTATACCAAACAAAATGGAGGGCAGGATTTGCATTTTGGGTCTCTGTTCTGATCCAGTTGCTTTTTACACCAATGTATATGATTAAATGTTGTGCACAAGGATAGGAAATCAGGCCCTTTGTCTTTTTGGAATACATATCTTTCAGTGTTTCCTTGGAAACGGGGAAGTGGTGGTATGAGGTTTTTTGGGTTATTTTTTTTTTAATCCTTCCCAGTCTTTGAAATAAAATGTATAATGGCAGTGTGCCTCCATGTTTGAAACCTGAAGTTGATTGAAATTATATAAAAATGTAATTGGTTAAAATAAGTTTTAAAAATATTTTTTCTATTTAAGAATTTCATGTCTAACCCACAGTAGTGACAATACTGATGACACTAATAACAATTCTGATCTAAAAATATTGAATTAATCAACATATCCCAGATGCAGTTTGGCTCAACATTAGAGAAGGCATTTGTTCCTCAAGAATTGGAAATACAATGCTCCCAAAATTAAGAAGAATGTGTGGCTGTCCAAATTGCATATATGGGACAGGGGATAAAATCAATATAGGACAGAGGAAATAACTACGTAGAATAAATACAGAAATAATTTATAGAAAGTACTAAGGGGTATTTACATTGAGTAATAGCCTATTTGTTGAAAGGAATTATAATGTATCTTATCTGCTATTGATTTTTTTTTGTTTTTCCATACTTGTTTATTATTAGGATGTGCTAATAATTGGCCAATGGAGATGTTTGGGGACATTAGTTCTTGACCTTTCTTTTTCTTTGTATGTTCTTTGCTAACCTTAAGAAGGACTACGTATGTGATTTCTTCTGGCTCCCCAGATTCTGATCTTTCTTCCAGTCTCTTTCAACACCAGCTGAACCTTCTGCATTTTTTTTCTGGAATTGGAACTTGGGAGCAGGGAACAGAGGGAGATGGGAAATAGACATGCCACATCTCCCTCCAGGAGCACTTCTGCTGCTTCCATGAGTAATTTTATGGAAAAGGCTCTGGATGTTAAAAGGTGGGATCTTGATGGCAGGTCATGAGGAAGAGGGGCCCCTAGGAAAGGGTTAGCAGAAGGGATGGAAAAGAGGGAGAACAAAGATTAAGAAAGCAGTGCTGGAAAGGGCCTCCTGAGACATCAAATCCAGTCACCTGCACTTGCAGGCAATCTTTAACCCAAGGAATCCCCATAATTGACACTTCAAACCCTTTCCCCCAACTACATAGCCCCAATTCAAAACACCAAGAACACCCTTGTATGCCACAGTCAGTGGTTTTCAGTCTTCCTAAGGTCAGTCTTCCTGGCCTGCTCCACCATTACCCCCAGTCTCTTTGCAGAACCCCTGATGCTGTATTGCGGAGCCCCAGGGTTCCATTAAACACAGTTTGAAAACCACTGCCATAGGTACGAGCAAGGGAGACAAGGGCACTGGCAAAGATCCTGCTATTGCAATGACAGGGAAATAGTTAGCAAACACAGGTTTCCCTGGCTTTATGCTGTACATGCATTCCTGGAAAACGGCGCATAACTCAAATTTGCATAAAGGGAACCCACTTTACAATATAACAAATAGGAATATGGTCCCAAGACCTCAACTATACTGACCCCCAGACCCATTTCTACCGCTTTTACAAGACAAATTTGGTACTCACCAACAGCAGACAGTACACACAAGCACAGGGTAGTGGTGAATGTTACCATAACGGAGATGGCAACTACAGAAACACATGTCACAGGCAACAAGTAAGGAGCACAGATCCACACAAAAAACTATATTTTGGTGTGCATCCCTCCACAATACACCACACAAAGCAGCTGACTGCAGCCTTCCATTATACCAATTGCATAAGAGTGAATTTACCTCGCATATAACAAATTTTTGGTGTAAAAAGGGTCATCGCATAAGAGCGAATTCACACATACAAAACCCACATAAAGTGAGGGAAACCTGTATATGCTCAGAAGATTCTAGGAAAGGACCATGCTGCTGCCTATGTAGGAAAGCAAAAATCCCCATGTTATGCCAAGGTGACCTAGGGGAAAAAATCCTTAGAACCCCTGCTTTCTGGAAGGTAGTTCATAGCATCCAGTGAGGTAGATTGTTGTCTATGAAAGCGTGCACCTCTCTGAACCAGCTAGTCTCCAGTTTCATGCTGACCTGCTTTCTTCCTGATGCTAAGGGAACAGTAAAGCACAGGGGAATGAAGAAAGTGGAGAACTATATGGGTCAGCATGGAGCGGGGAATAGCACAAGGGGGTCTAATGGGGCCAGGAAGTGCAAAAGAGATTCTGGGGGCTGAAGGTGGGAGCCTGTTGGATGGCCATTGTGCAGTGGTAGGCAACTTCTTCTGGCTGCAGGCCAGAAAGACTCACTGCAGATTGCAGGTGGGTTCTGGGGCCCTGCCACCACTGCTTATAGCCATGGTGGATGGGGAAGGTGCCTGCAGCTGGCATTTATCCCCTCAGCAGCACAGGGGAGGCATCTGTAGCTGACACCACTGCATGCCACTGAAGACCCATATCTGCATGCCAGATCTGACCCATGGGGTGTAAGTTGGTGACCTCTGCCTGAGTCAAAGGACAGTTAGGTCCTCTGAAAAATAGGGACGAGAGTGGGAGGGTAAAAGACTAATCTTGAGGGAACTGGGCTCCACACCTATTGCCCGCTATGCCTGATCACATGCTGACCTGACACACAGCACAGAAGTCACTGAAAGGCCAGTGGTGCCTCAGTGCAGATAACCATCTGGACAAGTCAAGAGGCAGCCCCTAGCATAGCTCCAGTTTTAATATACTATTAAAATAAAATGAGATAGCAATTAGTTTCTGTTCAATTATTCCACTACATAACTTTGTCAGTCAATTAGTATGAATAAATAAATATACCTCTTGAATTATTAATCTGCAAATACGAGAGGCATCTGCATTTAGTTTTCTGTGGCTTCTCTTCTTTGCTCTTGATACAGATGGTTTTAGAGCAGTGTTTTTTTATAAAGTCAAAACTGTTTCCAAACTTGTAATTTCTCTTAACTTTGTTTTCTTACACAATGTTACCATTTTAATCTCTGTTCAATATAAGAAGGGCTCAATTATCAGTTGCTAAAATTTGATGTACAACACTAAAGACCATGGGGATACCTGGGAATTCAGTGCTTTAACTATAAGATCAGGCCACTTATTTTGGGATGCTCAATGTGGGCTTATGAACTTTAAGCATTAATTTAATTAAAATCTTGGCCTTAAGATTTGTTTTGATCTGTAGAAAGACAAACAGCGCCTGATTAGCCTATCAAACAATTTCTGTCTGCTAATAAAATCATAGGGTCGGAAGGGACCTCAAGGGTCATTTGTTCCAACTTCCTGC